GAACTGGAGAAGTTAATGAACAATATAAATTGCTTGAAGTGGATATTGAATATTTTAAGAGGCTTTTGTTATTAGATAAAAATAAATATGCAGCAAAAGAACAATCATGAATTTGTTTTCTATGATAAGTTTGAAGGGCTTTACTCCCAAGAAGTTCCTTATATAAAATTCATATCCAAGTCAATGAGAAGAGATTGGTGTCAATTGGCTAATGATGCATTAAAGTTAATATGATTTATAATATAAAATCGGTGTTTAATGTTGTCCAAAAAAAAAATTAAAAGGATATAATTCCAACAATATATAACAATACTCATAAAAAATAGCAACACAATTGATAATTGCAATCTGTAACCATATAAGTCAATATTATAATGGATGGGTGATTTGCAATGAACAAACTTGTAGATATCGAAAAAGAATGATTCAAGCAGATAAAAGTTGCATCAATAATGGGTGTCATGGAACAATGCAGGGTTGGCAAATTGACTGGTCCATTGAGAACAGATGGATTTTGGACTAGTCCATTGCCATTAATAAAATATTGAATATAGTTAAAGTGGACCCAATGGACCACCAATAGACCATCAATGGTCCACACATTTGCCAACCCTGGAACAATAACAGAGGAGGTATTAAGTCATACATATGCATGTGTATTAGTATGCTTCTGTTTTTTTTTGTTTTGTGAATAAAAAAATTTATTTTTTTTTTTATAATTAGTATAATAAAATGGACTTGTACAAACAATTGGTATTTTATTCACATTTGTTTGATTATGAAAAGTCAAAAAAATCAAATCCAACCTTAAACTTTGGTGATTGTAGAGATTTTCTGCTCCTATTGGTTATTTGATTTTAATTTTTACTAATTCATATAATTTTTTAATTATTAGATGAAACTAGCAAGAAAAAATTTGAAAAATTAAGAAATGTAGTTGATGGATATATAGATCTTAGGGGCTTATTTAGTAAAATCAAAAACAAAATTGATTAGTAAAGATGGATTCTTAATCTTTAATTATTTAATAAATTTGATTTTTAATTAAGATTTTATTTAATTCTTGTTTAATAAAATTTGTTAATACTGTTACCGGAATTAGATTCTGACGGGGATATTTTGGACGAATCTCGTAATTCCGGGTCAAATTAATTCTATTTCTATTTTTATTTTTAATTTCATTTATCTATTTTTATATTTATCATTTTCTATTTTTTTTTTTCTTATTTATTTATTATTAACTTGAATAATTATTTTATTTTATTATTATCGTTTATACCTGTGTTACGTTTTGTATAATCATTTTATTGTTAATTAATCTGTAACACGTTAATATTTATTTGATTTATTTAACTATATTTGGTAGAAATTAATGACGATGCGCCCATATGGGCTCATGAACCCAAATGAGCGCATGAACCCAAATGGGCTTATAATTAATTGACACGTATATAAAGAACTCGAATTTGACCTACTATAAAAGTAACTTGATAACAAGTTAATTAGTTTCGACTAAGAAGACCAAATAAATAAAATAAATATTTTATTTAAACTTTTATCTTCTTTAAACAAACTTACTCGCTAATAACAAAATCAATTCGTTGATCCCCTATTCATTCTGATCCACGCAAAAACAAAAATAATTGTTATCACCA